TAGACATGAACCACATATTGTACAGTACAAAAAAGCACACCGTAGACAACCAATATAAGATCAACACTTTGCTTACATGAAGGATTGTCCCAAGGGATTGCGAAGAACAACACCCTTGTAATTTCAACTCTAGCATCAGGCTCTTAATTCTGCATTACAACATTTGCTGTTGAGTGCTTGCTTAGACTGCAGAATAACTGTTTGTTCTGTTAAAAAGGAGGGGCTAGTTGCATTAAAAATGCTCTGAGATAGACAAAAACACTGCTGTGATTTTCTTTTAGTGTTCAGTTAAATGTTGCCTCTGTCCTGACTTCGTTTGGTTTTCAAAATCTGCAAGCAATGTCATTACCAGAACTCCTTCATTAAAATAAAAACACTATCCTTGACTGTCAAGTAGATACTTTTCATGCAACAGTGACCCCGGTTTGACAGAAGACCACAACGCACACAGGTCAAACATGTAAGCAATTTTTTTTTCTTTTTTTTTTTTCAGCCAAATTTCACTGTTGTCTTAAAGGTAAAATTTAGTTTGTTATGCAACTAGCCATCTGTATATTACACCTTCTCCATTTTGACTTTACTTAGATTTATTTTCTAAAGCATTATGCATTCTTATATAAGTCTATTTTTGTATGCATTTGTCATGGGTTTCACATTTGGTGACTGGTTAGCAGTGTGCTGGCCATCTTTGGTTTGTAGAGGAAATCTTAACCATGAACAATCAAGGGGGCTTAAAAGAACTTTTTAAATGCTAGCTTTTTACTCAAACTTGTATCTATACTACATCACGCCACATTAAGTAGAAGCACACATCACAAAATTGCACAGGGATTACAATATTACATCCAGTCTGCATAAAATTGAATTCCACTACTGACCAGGTCACAAAATGGCTGCACTTTCTAGTCTAAAACTAATTTGCATATTGTACACATGTAGGACATTTTTTTACTTCAGTCACAATAATGCATGCAAGTTTGTTTTTTGTAACAAATTTTGTAAATTTGCTCATGCTACCTAGTTTCAAGAGAGCCTTTTTTGAACATTTGCAATAACTCACCTCTTGTTAATTAATAGTTCTAGTGCATGCATATGGTGTATACAGGTAAGTAAACATGCAATTTTTTCACATTCTAAAACTATGGCAGTTTAGGCCATATTGTGCTGCCTGCATTTAATCTGTAATGCAGTGTGTCTTAAACGTTTCAATCCCGTATTAATAGGTGGCATTACACATAACACCTATATAGCAGCAAAGCTAATACAGCTTGTGATTAAAAATGTTTAAAAATAGCTAATAAATCAGATTATCTTGAGGTATTATTTCTTGCAAGTCAAAATGGAGAGCAAAAAATCAACCCTAATTTTTAGTTTATGTATACACTGAAAATAGCAACAACAATAAAAATAAGCTTTTTGTAGCAGACATATTCCATCTTCACTATTTTGCTACCTTTGGTAAATTACTGGGGCAGATCTTGAAGTTAAAAACCCATGTTTAGAAATAAGTGCACGCTTCACCCACTAAATATAGCAGCAGACTGTGTGCCCCTACGCAAAAACATTCTCATATCTAGTTTTAACTTTACATATAAAAATAACTTGGAGAAAATACAAAAAAACATTTTATTTTAACATGAAAATATCACAAAAATTAGTAAGCCTGAGATGTAGGGTTTTGGTGAAAAACAAGAGGCTTGTAGTGTTTTGGCTGCTGATAAAGATGCATGTATTGATAGCTGGGGTGAAAAGCAGAAGAATGCACTTATTTCTTCTGCATGTCAGTATCTTCAAACACAGTAAGCCACATGCACCCTTCTTTCCTTATGTAGATGCTGGTTCACCATGTTTAATTCCAGCGGAAGTGGATCTGACGTGGGCGGTCAGCCCCCTCCTTTACCAATGGCTTATGGAATTCACGTCCTGCACGAGAGTGGATATTTGCCCAACAAAACTCACAGTAATACTGCAGGCAAGTGACATTGGCACAAAAGAAAGGAGCAAACTTTCCACCGCATCGTGCGCCCTGGCATTCGTCACACATCTGGTCATCCAACACATATGGCTTTACCTCCACCTGTTGGAGTAAAACAGAAACAATCCTAGTTCATACCTATTCCTACTTCAAGTTCTATGAGGACATTCAGTTTTTTCTGATTTAAAAAACCCAAACACAGAAGACATATTAATGCCTTTAGGTAAGTGATCAGTTATTACTCTATCATTTATCAGCTGCAGATCTATCCATACAGTAAGCAGCACACTTCGTGGCAGATCTTTGGAAGTACACAATATGTAATAGCTACATCATAACCTCCCCTTAATTTATTCTGGAAGGATGTTCTTGACAAATGATAATATGGAAGTTATGTGTAGAAAACAAGCAAACAAGCCCAAAGGTCTCCCAACTAATCTCATCAGCTCCCAAATGTACCCCAACATGACAGCCAGTTCTATACTGTTTAGCAAAAAATAACTGAATACAAAAGAATGTAACCATTTATGCATTAACCTTGTTTAAAAAAATAAGTGTAAGTCTCTACATGGACTACTTTTGTGTGCAAATTAAAAGTACTCTCTGCAGGCTGGAATACAGATCTTTTAGCACTGCTGTTCCCTGTAAATGCACTCCCTATTTCTAAAATGTGGACAAATTTAGAGCTACAGATTTTGGTCATCTATTACTTTCCCTTTTTGTGGCTTTGAGCTGTACAGAAATTTGTATTCAATGTATTTCTGGAAATATTTTTAAAAGACCATTTTGCAAGTCTACAGACTGCTAGAAGCACCTGTCTTACACAGCTCCTTTCTCCCAAACACCTCTGACTGCCAGGGTGGAAAAGTGGCAGGAGTCCAGCAGTAAATTTGTGTTATGTCTTTGCATAACTGAACTGTTACAGACTGCGATCAGACAGGAAGAACTTCATAATAATACACAAAATCAGTTGACTCCATCATTAAGGAATGTATTGTTGTCTTCCACATTTTCCTTACTTTTAAAGACGGTATTTTCTGCCTTGTCAAAAAGAGCTATTCCAGTTGATACTAAGACTCACTACTTTAAAAGATTTTTTTCTGATATACTATTACCCGAGAAGAATGCTACATATAGACATGTTTGAAATAGTAAGAACTTTAAAATGCTATTTTTTTTCCATTGTGTCTTCAGAGGAAAAAACTTACACCTACAGCTACCCACCCCAAAGTTTACAGTAGAATAGCCTTCATGTTCTTAGCTTCACAAGTAGAGGTCATCCTTGACATGTCAAACGCATCTATGTTTGAAATAGAGTATGCTTCTTCCAGTAATCTATATTCAGTACAAGCTCTGCTTCTTATTTCACTACAATGACCTGCCTTATCACAAATTACACTCAAACTTTCCAATAAACAGGTACCTTCTGCAGTATCTGTGTTTGAGGTTCAAAATTACTGAAAACATGAAGCAGCATATATTTCAAGCTTCAGTGCATTAATGCACCAAGATCGGTATGAAGACTATTTCAAACGTATTAGAGAAACACTTTGGGGAATGGATGTATCACACGAAGTGGATGCAGACGGCTGGCATATGAAAGTTAACAACATTTTAAGGAATTGTTTGGAGCTGAAACTCCAAATGAGTTTTAAAGAAACATTTGGAGCTGAGTTTTCATATATGATAAAACAGGATGAGGAGCACTTTACTGAAGAAAAACATCTGTTAGAGAAACTACACATATCTACACATCAAAAGAACTGGAGAGAAGCTGCAGAGTACTTCGGCAAGGAAGAAGTTAATATCACAGACAATGTTTGTTAAGCAACTGTGACACTAAGATTTCCAATTAAGGTAGGAAAAGGTATGTGCAAAAAAATGCTATAAATACTTTAAACTAAAGTTCAGGAGGATAAACAGGTGAACTGCAAAATTTAACAATGCAAAAAGACTTTTACACAGACAAAACTGGTTATGAAAAGAATGTGAAAGGCCAGTAGACTGACTGAAACTGGTTATAACTGGTATAGAAAGGCTATGCTAAGGTAAAGGGTAGGGGAACAGCCTGCCTCTAAGATTTCAGTGAAAAATGTAATATATTGCTTTGTTGGCCAGCATACGTGCACATCTCAGATGAAGGCAGTACCCAAAGTAGGACTATCTTCCTCATTTACAAAGAACAGCGCTTTACAGACCTATACAAATTGTGTGCTCATCTATAATCAGCAGCAACGCTGACTTCAGAATATTCTCAGAGCCTGAAAAGGCATTAGTGTATAAAATCCATGGAGCAAAAAAATATTTATGAAAATAGCTTTTTTCATACTTTCAGAAACAGCTAAGAGTTAAGGTGTTCCCTAAAAATAGGCTGTTCTCTATTACTCCTCAGTAACGCAGATAACTAGATTGTATAAATATATATAATTACATAAATAATGACTGACCACATAATTTGAGAAGATGATTTTAAAAATAAAGATTAAAAACCTGCTGAAATAAACAAAGAAGTTCATAAACCCTCCCCATCACATGGTTTAAAGACAAATTTATTAAAATATTTAGATTTGGCATTGCTATATTTTGCAAGTGAAACACCTGAGAAGTAGCACACATTTTTAAAAACAAGAAAAAACAAGGATGCTAATAAAAATCCCAAAATTCCAGATCTAAGAGAACACTGGAGTCAAAAAACTACTTTTCAAGAATTAGAAAAGCAACACTAAGAACAAAAATTGTAACAATCAAAAAAGAAATTGTGAAAATTCAAATACATAAAGAAAAAGCCTAGATCTTCCTTCCCTCTCCCCTCCAATTTCTCCAGCCCATGAACAGCTATCTACAGGTACTAATTATACTTGTTCCTTCCTTTTTTTTTTTCCTCCTTCCCTGTAATAGTGATTGAAGAAATCATTTGACTCCTGTTTTTATAAATTAAGTCTCATGGATATAACTCAAATACTCTGCTTCTGAAATGTAATATTTGGAGCAGATTTTTCCCCCCCCCCCCCCTCGTCGATGCCCA